CACACACACACACACAGCACTTATTATTCCATGAATTCCTTTGCTGTTCACACTCTAACATGATTGGGGTGATTAATTGAGCTCATTGCTATTTTTTGTCTCCTCCTTTCTGCCATTCATCTTTCCCTCCCACAGATGCCCCTCAGGTGACAATAGTAGGTTATGACAATAATTGGTACTTGGGTCGTACAAATGTGGTGCTCACCTGCCAGGCTACCGGAAACCCTGTTCCACTCTCCGTCCAGTGGAAGACGTGAGTATCAGCATATCCAGCTTTTTTTTTTTTGTCTTATCTCTTGCTCTGTCTCTTCTTCTCAACGCCTCTTGCTTTCTCTTTCTCTTATCGCTCTTTCTCTTATTTTCCCATCCTTACCCTTCAGTCCGAGGTCTACATAGCTGTAATCAGCGCTTTTATTATTGCCACGACAGTCCTGTGCTCTGATTATGGAGATAGCCGTATAATTTCTCATAATGGACTCTGTAACTCGAGATGTAACCCTCACATAATGAGAAACACAATATGACTCCCTCACTCCCTTTTTCCGTATTATAAGCTATTAACATAACTGTGACAAAATTTGAAGAAAAAAAAAAACTTCTGGAACTTTAAAATGGGAGAGATGAGATTTTGGGCCTGGATCCAGCAGTTTTGATTTTCCTCCTGTCCCCATCGTATTTTCCTCCACTGTGTGATAATGGATTGCCTTTTGAGGAAGGGGGAAACTGATTGGTTTTGCACTGCCCATCAAGATTAGTGGAATTTGATGACATTGCACAATACAGCACATTTCTGTAAATGCACATCTGTCTCAGCACTCTCATTGTGCCCAAAGTCAAACAAACCGCAATTCTCTTCTTTTTTTCATTTCTTTTTGGCCTCCTCCTTTTTCTTCTTTCTCATACCAATATGCTCATATCCCTGCAGTATGTCAGGAGAGATGCCAGACACGGTGCTCATCACAGGCAAGGAGCTAAAGGTCCTGAAGGTTGATGACGCCGTCAACACCACTTTTGTCTGTGAGGTCAAGAACCGCATTGGGATCGGCAGGGACCAAGTCACAGCCCTGGTCAGAGGTGAGTTGAAAGACACAAACAAGCACACACCTCAACGCATGCACACACAAAAAGTATGAACACACAACATGTGCACAAATGTTCCTCAAGATGTAGGTCAGATGACATTTAAAAACATACTTTAACCTGTTTGGAGAGCAGCGTTCATTTTGTTCTCTTCTTTGTGAAATGATAAATTGCCAATTGGCATTAGAATTGTTCACAAATCCACCCATCTGCTGCTCTAAGTAGGTAAAAACCGAAACCAACTTGTGTAAAGTGTAATTTGCACAAGTTCAAAATGTCCTAAAACAGATAAATTGTGCACCTTAAATACATCAGTAAAGCAGTGAACATTTCAGAAGTGAAATAAAGAAAAACACATTTGTGGCTCGCTTGGGTCTCGTTCATCATCTAAACCTGGCTTATATATGAAAACATTTATATCCTCTGAACTGATGAACTGGAACCAAGTGCACTTTCATCACACATGCTACACATTTTCTGGTATACTATGCTCTCATGTCTTCCCCAGGGATACACCTTGTTCTGCCTCACATGTCTCATGAACACACACATACACACACATTCTCTGTGCTGAGGATTGTCTTGGGTGTGTAGTGTAGGGCTAGAGGTTCCAGCTGCTCTGTCCGCATCGTGTATGTATGCGTGTGACTGCTTTAGACAGTGTGTGCGTATGTTCAAGCATTTGTGTGCTTTTGAGTTAAACTTTTCATGCTTTCCTTTCTGTGACCTATTAAGAATGCATGTCACTTTTTCTGTTTCCCTTTGCATGCGCTCAATAACACTGTATTATGAAAGTGTCCATGCCTCCGCTGTACCGAAGGTCTGTCTATCTGCTGTGTATATCACGTGGCACTACAAAGCTGTTTTTCACAAGGTCTTTAGTGGTAGTTCACATTGTGCATGGTGCGCATAGACAAGATGGTCCTTCTCGCTGATATTTTTCCTTTTCTTTTCTTTTCCTAAAATGAGAGAGCAGTCCGCCCCCCCTTAAGTCATGATCACAAAAGCGACTGCATAGCTTCTCAGCAGTACCCTTGGCCATCAGTAATGACAGGAGAGACTAAAGCAAAGCAAATGAGCAGTGTTCATTAGAGTCAGTGTCTTGAAGATAAGGCTGCAATCACTAAAAGTGATATATTTGACTCACAGCGACACTGTTGACTTTGAAAGTGGATTTCAGTGTTGCCATGGGTATAGCTGAGGCTAGACTTGCACTGATAAACTGTGTGCGTGTTTGCTGGTTCATATTGCCAGTTCATATACACATCTGTCTGTGTGCTATATAGCTTGTTATACTGACTAAAATCTAAAAATCTAAAAACCTTAAAACATCCAGAATGGTACCAGTTATGATGTAAAAGCGTCCATCCTTCCTTTCCCGTCTGTTACTCCAATAGTTTTAGCTGCACCCCTTAACAGAGTACACTCCTGCATTTTACCTCATACAAAATACATCCCCCTTCACTCTTCTGCCGTATGCCTGCACTTTACCGGAAGTTTTTCCTGCTGACATGGGGGTAAACCTAGCCCGTAATGGGGGAAAAAAGTGCATTTCTCTAGTGACTACATTTTAAGACCAACCCAGCTACTTCATGCCCTCATTTCTTTCTTTTTCTTGCTCAGTCTCCCTACTTGTTTCATTCTTTTTTTTCTTTCTTTCTCGCTCAACCCCCCATCTTTCTTGAAGTCCCTTGGCTCCTTATGGTGCCACAGCATGCGTCACCACTCCTCTGGGGCCATTCTGTACTGCTGCATAGTAGTGTAACTGCCTTCTGTAGCACAAAGGATGTCACCGTCTCCTGCTGTGTATTACAAGCAACAAGCAAGGAAGATACAAAGATCCAGGGAGCAGAGGGAGGAAGATGGAGGCTGCTTTTAGACTAAAAAGCCAGAAAACGTGCACCAGGATAAATCAGTGCCAGCATGCAATCCTCACACTAAGAGAGGGAGAGAGCAAAGCCATGAGGGACGGAGGGAGAGATGCTGACGGCATTTAAAACTCCCATGGGAATCTTGTGCCACTGCATCCTATCTCCACTGCTATTGGCCTCCACTATCTCTCAGCATAGCGTGTGTGTCTGTCTGTTTCCAAGCCTCTCAGAGCGGATCAGTCACCCTTTGCTGCTTCAGCTCCTGGCTGCTTCTCTCCTCATTCCACCATCCGTTCTCTTTTATCCTACATTTCCACTCCGATTCTTCATCCCACTTTCTCCTTTTTTTTCTCTCCCCCCCCCCCCCCCTTCCTCTCACCTTCATTTTTCTTTCGGGTCTCTCTGGTCTCTTCCAGTGTTGAAACTCCCACAGTTCCCTTGTCCTGTCATCTCCCCCCTCTATCTCGTCTTGTTCTCTCATGGGCCGACCACCTCCTCCCTCCTTCCCACTCCTCTCTTACTCACTGGCAGAAGAGGTGGAGGAGGATAAGATGTGAGCTAAATTTGCCGGCAGTTAAGAGGTGACTGAGGCAACCAGCAAGTGTAAAAATGAAGGAGGTTTTTTTGTAGAAGGCAGAGAGATGGCAAGAAGTGAAAGATTGAGTCAGTATTGTTTGAAGTGAAATGAAAAAGTTGAAATGGAGCGATAGCAATATGTGGAGTGACTCCAGATGGGGATGCAATGCAGACCTGTGGAGGCTAATGTGAATGCATGTAGACAAACAGGGCTAAGAGGGGCCGACAGGCGTGAAATGGCCAGCACCTGCTACATAGCAGGTCCCCCACTCCTCTCTACCCCACAGCTGCATGACACACACACAAATCTACACACTAGTCTGTGTGGGTGTTTGTCTGTGTCCTCTGCCCTGAGTCTTGTCCTGTGCTCCTGGAGGCAGCGAAAGGGATGGATGTCCTCTCTTCTCCTTGCCTCTCCTCCTCTCATCTTCGATCCTGCTGCTTAGTCACACACGCAAACGTATCCTACCCTGTTCTCCCCTCCTCTTTTCTTTCGATTTATCTCTCCCCTCGCTATCTCTTTCGCTGCAGTTTGCTCTTTTCATTGCATCTCTCATCCTCTCAGTTAGCATATGCTCTCTCCTCATCCGCCTTATCTCTCTCAGGTTGTCTTTCAGCCTCCGCAAGTCTGGCGCTGATCTCCCTGCTCAGAGAGGAGACTCCTGCCCCCAGCATTCTCTCTCTCTCCTGCTCATAACCTTGCTATCTCCCTCTCTCTCAAAAGCTTAACTCTTAAATACCAGTAGCTCTTCCTTAATCACAGCTTAGTAGTCTCCATCCCTCCATCCATCCCTCCATTCCAGTCTCCTCTCTCGGGGGTTCTTGTGTAGCTAACCCAGATTCCCTCCATCTTCCGTCTTGTTTTTTTCCCCCCTTCGTTCCTTACAGGGGTGGCTCAGCTGAACCTCAAAAAGTAAAATGTCCCCAAGTGAATCTTCCACATTGTCCGAGGGGCTCTTCAGTTCAACGGAAAAGAGATTTTCTCTCAATTCGGTGCATTCTTCCCATTTTCAGACTCATCTGAGGAGACAGTTCAAGGGCAAGGGGCTTGGCCATTTTCCTCCATTGGGTTTGGGTGTGTGTGAGTGTGTCTGCCTGTATCTGTCTGCGTCTGTCAGTGTGTGTCTCCGGCCATGCGAAAAACAGCCAGAGAACAGGTCTGATGGAGCCAAGTCTCCCTGCAGCCTGCAACTGGCCCCCTGCCCACCCCTCATTAGCGCACGCACACACACACACTCATGCATGCACGTACACACAAAGCTCTGTTCAATAAGTTAACATGCTGACAGAGAATACTACTATAGCTATGCTCTAGGTGCAGCCCAGCCCGGCTCAGCATCAGATCACTGATGACCATAATGGGGTGTGTGTGTGTGTGTGTGTGTGTGTGTGTGTGAGTGTGAGACCATGCATGTTTTTTGGGAGGCTGCAGTAGACGTTACTTCTGCTCCATCTCCCTCATTATTTGCGGTCACTTGGAGCTTACCGTCGTGCTGGACGTGACTTCATAAGAAGCATGCTGTTTTTTGGCTTCAACTGTATGGTGTGGGATGTGTGTTTTGTGGGGTGGGGGTGCAGTACTGTAGTATATGTATGTTTGTTTTCTATTTTTTTTTATATCCCCTTGTTATCCACACAGCATGCATATTGTAATTTTTATGCTGGTTCATCCAACAGCATGTGTTTATAAGATGTCCTCTCCTCACCCACTTACATAGATTCCACTGGTGCTTTGTTAGGATGTGTCTTGGTCTGTTTTGGTTCTGTTCTGGGAGCCTGGGGTGGCTCCTTTACATCTATCTCTTGAATCTTTCAAGTGTTGTCTCCAGAAGGCTAGAATAAAACATGAATTATCAGCCACAAAAGGATTTACAAGCATAGACTTTGAGACACTTGTGAACTTACTTGAGCGACGCATTAAAAATAATTGGATGAGTGGAATTTAGGGTGAATTTGCATTTAAATTTTAGTGTAATTCCCTTTGATGTGACAGCAATGTGAGGCAGCATCCGGCCCCGAGTTTGCACAGAGATTGTCGCCACGTTGCATGTGCTGAAGCTCCACAGAGCCCAAGGTGATAATGCATTTCTTGTGTTCCTGTTACAAGTGGACACTGAGGGCTAGCTCTCACTCTCATGTGTGTGAACAGCAATGTTTAGCACTGCTCGGGGGAGAATATGAGGGGAAAGAGACTGTGTGTGTTTAGAGAGGCTAGTGGGAGAGAAATTGAAAGAAAGGAAGAGAAAATATACCCACAAGAAATTATGAATTTTTTCCCCTAGGCATATGTTGAAAGTGAAGCACAGAGGAGAAGGGCAAAAAGAAAAGTAACACATGACAGAAATACAAACGTAAACTGGAGAGATGGCAGGGAAAATGGATTTAGAGGAGACTGAAAAGAGTGTATGCAAGAGACAGCTGGTGAAGTGGTGGCAGAGATGGAGAAAGGGGTAGTGGAGGGGAGGCAGAAATAAAGGGAAAGAGAAGAGCACAGGTGTAGACAGCAGTAGACTTCCATTTTCTCTCTTGACAAGCATCAGTGTTACAAGAGTAATTCTGTCAGCTCTCTGTACACTTAACAAGAGGGGCCGGCTCCTGTTGGATTTCAAATGGGAATGACAATAAGAATCGGGCTGATTCGCTACTTTCAAATTTAGGCAGGGATTTCAACAGCAGCGTCTACTGGTTAATCCTCTGCAGCAGCCGGTGAAAGTGCAGAGAGTGGAAAGGAAAGCTAGAGCAACGGAGAGGATGTTCAGCTTAACTAAGGATTCTTGATCACTTTCAACAAGGGACTAAAATTAAAAATTCATTTGCTTAATGCGTCTTGTTTGGTTTTATTGTTGTAGCTCATGTGCTCAAACCTGAAGGAAGCAGGAACACTGATGGATAATAAACAGCCTTTATTCCATAGGATGTGCCTTCTTCAGGGATTGAGAGAGTAACATGAAAGCATTTTGTTTATTGCTTCTGAAGCATTCAAATGTACAGAAATTATCTAAATGGAATGAATAAGTACATTAAATAAGAATAAAAAAAATACATGCAATCATACAAAATACATCATAAGCCCAATTCTTGAATGCTTTAAACTGTATAAATTCAGGCATTTATTGTCCCTTTCTCTAATCCATCCATCATAACAAAGTGCTCCTCCTTCCTATAGAAGTTATTGTACATGTCCTTGTAAAATAATCTGTCATTTTTAGTCAGTAAGAGCTTCATAGTACAGAATGCAAACAGCGTGGGTGAATTTCACCCTTAACTCCGGCAGTGTTAGCGGCAGACTCCCTGCCGACTGAGTTATAGATGATGACCACATGGGGAAAACGGTCACAGGGACTGTGGGGAGTTGTCATACTCCCAGAAAGCACTTAGAGCCCTGAACTCATGGCCTATGCAAAGCAATAACACTGTCATGGTTCTCCTAGAGGCTTTACTCACTAGTAGTGTCTTAACAAGTCCGGGTATTAAACCTCAATATTTTTTGAGCACAGACTGAAATGTGTCCATGGCACCAAGTACTGAAAGCTAGCATTTTAGGCTGTATGTTATTTTTAGCTTTTTAACTTCTGTGTGGCTGCAAATGTAACATTCATTTCAATAGGCTAATTTTGATAAATAGAAGAAAAAGGCTAGAACAGTATTGTTTTGGTATTAGTGACACTGGTACAGAAACTTTATGTACATTATTTCCTCTGTAAATTTACAACAATACCCAGCCTTAATCTTAACCGGTGGTTTCCTTCTCAACAAAAGCAGTTGTATCTGTTGCTGTTGAAATACCTGCTTTAAAATATTGTACTAATATCACTGCAGAGGGATGTCGAGGGAGTGGGAAATGCGAGTTCAGAGAACGAGGACTGTATGGCTGACAAATCATATGGGACGTCTTCACAACCCTGATTTAGACACCACTACTTTTCTCTTGGGTTTTAATACACAAACAGAAGTACTGTGTATTGGATGCCGGAGCCCTAGTTTTTACTTATACCCTCCTTAGCCACACTGCACTCTAAGAAAATCTTTGTTTAATTTAAAATTCACTTAAAATGGCTTCTTCTCGTGTGTGTAACATGGCAGTCGTGACTAAATTCGTAGCGATGGAGTTAAAATGGACACTCGTGTAGGACCGACATGCACTCAAGCAGTGCCTGTGGTTTACAGAAGCGGAGAGGGTTGCCAATCTGTCCCCCTGCTCCACGTTCATGGCTTCCAGGAAGAGTTGTCATTCCGCTGTCTCACTTTGTCACTCACTCACTCTGCTGCCCCTTCCTCCTCCTCCTCCTCTCCTCCTCTCCTCCTCCTCCTCTCTTTCCCTCCTCCTCCTCCCTCCTCCTTCCTCCTCATCTAATATTTCAGCCTCCAACGTCGCTCCAATCCGTCAAGTCCCCTCCTCCTCTGCATGGCCTCCACCTGTTCTACCACACACACATGCCATTCCCCGCTCCTTCAGAAAGTGTGTGTATGTGTCTTGCAATTAACCCCCCCACCCCCATCCTTTACCTAGCTTTGTGATTTGTGGTAGGCCTTGGACAGACCCTGGCCATTGAAGGGCAACACAGGGGGAAATGTGGCTGCAACGTTGTTGTGGCGTGGCTGTGGGAATGGGGACAGGAGCAGCTCAGAGGGAGAGGAGGAAATGTCAGTGTAGGAAGAGGCTCAGCACACACACAGACACACACTTGACTGTACTGACACCTCAGCACTCTTACACACTTCACTGAGTACAGTTCAGACCAGCACCACTGACATCATCCAACTCCTACCTTTTTTCTGTGTTCCTCCCTTCCTTTTTCTTTTTCCTTGATCTTTACCTTCTCTTTCTTCTGCTTTTTGTGCTGTCCCTATTTTCACCGTCACCCTCTCTTCATGTTTCACACTGTTCTCTTTTTTCCCCTTTCTCAACCATATTCCTTTCTTCCTTTTTCTCCCTCCCTGCCTCTTCTCCCTCCTGCAGAGCCCTCAGTGAACCCATCCAATGCCGGCGTGGTGGCGGGAGCTGTGATTGGCTCCCTGCTGGCCCTCCTTTTGGTCGCTGCTCTCATCGCCGTGCTTGTCACCCGTAGCCGCAGGCAACAGCAGGGTTACCGTGCCAATGGCGGCAGTGACATGAAGACACGCATATTTGGCGGTGGCAAGAAGGCCAGCAAGAACGGCACAGGTGGAAGCACAGGCAGCGGCGGCGTGGGGGGCGGTAACAACAATGGCCCCATCTACGTTTACAATGAGACCTCATCCCACCAGGGCCTTGGAGAGAAAAACAACCACCACCAGCCGCTCACCATGGGGGGCCGGCCTGAAGTTGTCACCACTACACCCACTGCCCAAGATATCCTGCTAAGCAATGAATTAGATGATGCAGAAAGGAGGAAGTTTGATGAGCTGGAGGAGGAGGAGCGGTATGACCACTTCACTGGAGGGGCCCCCATCCTTCAGCTTCGCCCACCGCATGACCAGGATGATATTATTGGCGATTACTTGGATGATGACATGGAGTCCCAGCGGGATGGCTCTGTCATCTCCCGGACTGCTGTTTACGTATAGAGGAGATGGAGAGGAAAGGAGGAGGAGAAAAAGGAAGGAATGGAGGATTCCTCCCGAGGATTTTGTGGCACCAGGGTCTTGTCCCTGTCTGATAGAGAAGAGAAAATAATACCACTTTTATTTTTGAAAATTGATTTTAAATATAGCCTATTATTAATCACAGTGCAGCCCCAGAATGGACTGAATGAACAAGAGGGTTTGGTGGAATATTCTGAAAGAAGCGTTGCTGTTATCTGGTCCCTAAGAACTGAAAATCAAACAGAAAAGAAACAACCTGTCTCCCACTGCTTCTGCTCATGCTATCACTATCACTGGGACCTTGACAAGGACTCTTGACAGACAGACTAAAAGACAAGAAACTGTGTATGTGGGAGTAGGATAATGGAATCATGACACAAGTTTGGCTTTAGAGAAGGCAACTCACTTGCATTCACTCTTGTCATCACCAAAACAGTAGAAGGGTAAGAGGTTGTCAAGCAGTTTCGTGTCACCTGCTATTACCAGTCCTCCCGTGGGAAACCTTCTGTTTTGGTAATGCGTTGTGCTATGACAGCTGGGTAGTTAGCAGCTAGTGATGGCTTGGGGAGGAAAAGTGGCGGGTATAAATAGTAACCAACAGGTGATTTAGAGAAGAGAACTATGTATGTTCTTGTGTCTATTTCTGCTCTCTCTGCCTTCCTCTCAAAAGTAAAAAGAAAAACCTCTCTGCAAACTATCAGCAACCATAGACACTCTTGAATTTACAAAATTTAAAAAGAACATTAGGTCCTTTTGTGCTGCACAAATACAAGAGCAGCTGAATTTAACAAAGTAAGTTTGCAGAGAGTTTGAACTTAAGTTCTTAACAAAGTATTCACATGCAAACTTTTGTACTGTGCCTGGAGGTAAGAGACGGTAAACAAGAGATGAGGGAATGAGGTGTAGCCAATCTGACAGGGTCAAGGGATGGAGAGAGGGATGCAGGAGGCGGGAGGACTAGAGAGGAGCACGTCTCTTCTTTTCTCTTCCTCCTCATCCCCGTCTCTTCAGAGTGCTCCTGACAGGAGGAGCTTGATTGGTAATGAGCCGTGAAGTCGCTCGCTTAGCCGGGACCAACAGATTGCCACCACTTATCGTTTATGACGTGGCAATTCCTCCCCCTCCTACGTCTATCTCTCCATCACCCCTCCGTCTCTCCTTCTCTCTCTTCATCCCTCACTCCCAGTGTTTATGGGGAGTTTATGATTTATCCGGGGCAGTGTTGAGGTCAGGGCCACAGAGAGCAGGGGAGTATTTTACTGCTCCTGATGTGTCAAACGCCCCACTTACTCTATTCCAGTCCAGTCCAGCCCAGCCCGGCCTGCCCTGCCCTGCCAGGACTGACTAATTCACCTGGGGTGGCCACATTCACTCCACTGCATGGACGCTTCTCCTCCCATACTTTAGTAAATGGCCGGATATAACAGAACCCCACCTCCATAGCATGGCCGCATTAGGTTAGATAGATTTTCAATAAGATCATCTAATATTTCTTTCCATTAGCGGATGTTGTTAAATGTAGTGGATTGATCGGGAGACATAAAAGGTTGGCGAAGCTATGGGAGTCATATTGACTAACAGGCAACAAGCAGTGAAACAGCCCTTTATGATGCAGCTTTAGCAGGGCTGATTGTCTCCTGACTGTTAATTTATCCTTCTAACGAGCCACTGGAGGCCTGCTCAGGCAAATATTACTCGTGGCTACTGTGCACTGCTGTCTTTGAGACTCAGTGTGTGTGTATTTTCATGCGTCACTGTATCTATGTAGCCACTGGATGACTGTGATGGACAATCTTGGAGAGAAGCCCTAATTTAGCTCCTCTAATCATGCTTTTCCTGGCCTTCTAAAGAACTCCCCTTTGACCCAACGGGAATCTGGTGAGTGCGGCTTTCGATGACTGTACTGACCTCTTGTAGGGCCCAGCGAATATCTGGGTTGCAGTTCGCTGCAGGTCATGAGGTCAAATGCAGGGTGACCCATTGCCAAGGGCAAGGATGACTGTCTTTGCCTGCATTTCTTATCATAGCTGCTTTTAACCTTTAACTATAGATGTGAGAAACACTCACATACAGTACAAGCATGTATATAGGGTAAGACAGTCCTTGTTTGCCATAGTGAGGGCTTTTGACCTTCAGAGAGGCGGAGAGATGCAGGATGCAGATGACCGAAACCAAGACGGCTTTCAGTGTAGTGAGCACCGTCTAGCATATTGTAAGCCAGTGTGTTCAATAGGATTATCGTCTAATGGCCTTAGCTTATACATAAATGGAACTCCTGTCAACCTGGGGTACAGTAAATTTACTGAACACAGCTGATTTGTCACAACCACTCAAAATAAAAATGTATTACTTATTTTTGCACTTGTGTGTGTGTCACCGCTACAAAGAGAAATATGAGTGTAATACTTGGTCTTTGGGGTAAAAATAGCGATAAGGGACAAAACTGTTGTATGTACATTTTGGTGTGAGGTATCTGTGTACTATATATATGTAAGCATCTTTATTTTTCTTGTGAAAATGTTGATATTTATGAAAATGTAAATATCAGATCGATGGAGCCAGTATTGCCAGTGTTGTGGAAGTAAAGTGGAAGGCGTTCTGGGTAGGCTAAGCTTAAAGTTCAAATGTCTCAGAGGGCATTCAGAATGTAATTTTTAATCTAACGAATACCTCGGTGGTTCGGGTGTCACAACATACTGAACTGACTGAGCTGAGTTTACCTAAAGCCTAAGAGTCGATTTGTATTGGCTTGGAAAATTAAATTTTTGTTTTTAATTCAAGTTAGCGTTCCATGCATTTCCACATAATAAGCACACAATATTTTTTTGCACAATTTGCTTCTTCTGCTCCTTGACAGACACCCTGCACAATGCAAAAATACCCACAATACTCATAATTTATCAGGTAGACCGTAACCACACAAGCGCGTTGCGTCTGAGTCAGCTCTGTCTGTGTGTGTGTGTGTAGTTGAGTGTCGGTGTGTATTTTCGTGCTGCTTAGGGCTTTGGGACATCTCTCACTGCCATTGGGGCTGTAACCTGAGTAGCCACCCTTTGTCACCATGGAAAACTGGCAAACTGAAGATATTATTGTGCATTTTGAAGACACTCGCGCACACATACTGTACATATACATACGCAGAATGCAGAGAAACATTCGCCCACACACAAACACCCCTCAGTCACTCTCATTATGCTCACTCCCACAGCCAAACTGTGCAGAAGACACCTCATACCTGACAACTCTGCCATCTCCTGACATAAGCCCACACAAATGTGCTCGCATAGCTGCACACAAACACACACACACACACCCTTACACACACGAAAACACTTCTTTTTCCTCTTCTTGCTCAGTGGCTCTGTCAGGACATATACCGTGTCCTGTTACTGTGGAAAGAGCCGCAGCATGATGTGTCCCCTGCTCCACTGCTTTCTATTCCCCAAATAGTCCAACCCGTTCCCGAATCAATGACCATGTAGAACAGAGACAAGTACACATTCAGGGACACACACCTTTCACCCAGTGTCAGAGAATCGGGCTTTTTAGGAAACAGTTTGTCCGTTCCGCTCATGTTGCACACGGCACACGGAAATTATAGGCTTTCATAAAAATGCCACTGTGCTGACCTCCTCCTCCCTCCTCCAGATCCCTTCGAATGGCTTTTAGAGAGTCACAACTTCCTACTCATCTCCAAAATGTTGTTTTTCGACTTCCTCACTTCAGCCACCTCCCGCCACCGCCACCGCCTCCACAGAACATGCACACACCGTTGCCACCACTAGAGCGCCAAGTAAGGGGTTGTCAGACAAAATGCTTTTAGAAAAATCCGACGATCCTGGCCCCGGGGTCT